ATAATGGGATAAAGGCAAGGCAATGATGATGACATACATGAAATAAATAGAAAAAACTCAGGTCTATAAAAATAACCACACTCAAATAATATTCAAAAGTGCTTAAATTTAAGTTTATTTGAATAAAGGATTTTCTATTTTATTCTATTATAATAATGAAGTGTGTGAGGAATCGAACTAGCGACCATTGGAAGAAAACCAGTGTGCTATACTGGACCAACTAAGATCCTCCGATATTGTTGCTGCTACGAATTTTTGAAAAATTCAGCGTCTACTAGAATTCTAGAAAAACAAATTCCAAATCTTAAGTTGTACACAATAAGAGAGCAATTTGAACGTTCACAAATATTTACCCATTTGATACAATCCTTGTACTAATAAAACTTGTAATATAAATTATTTTATATCTTCAGAAGCAAATTTTTCCGCCAACTACATAATTAATGTTGGTCTATCGATAATCAGTAGCTCCTTGGTACGCCTCGAGGTTAATAGATAAGGTAATAATAATAATAATAATGCTTTATTTGTATAACCACAAATACAAATTAAAATTAAAAAAAAATATAAATAATGATGTAGGTAATTTTTTTTTATTTCGGTTTTTCCCGTTTCAGGTAAGGCAAAAGGACTCGGCCTATACAGCCATCGTCTTCAGTAGTGTTTTCATATAATTTTTTTTTATAATAATTGTCTTCTAAAGTTGTATATCTTGAAATGTTGTTCAAATTCAACATATCTTTATTCATATCTTCATTCAATAGATTCAGGATGGAGCACGGGATTGTAGGTCTATTACTGATATGTCAAATCTACCATCTGTCCGGAATGCTTTCGAGAGAAAAACTGACAAGAAAGATTACAACATCAAAAACGAGCAGAACATAATAATTGAAGTTAGTTAGCAAGGTAATCAAATGGCAGAAAGTTGAGCAATACAAAGTGAGGATCTTGAGAACCTAAACTGAGTATTACACCTGTGCTGTAGTGCTCTCTTTTAACATGTCCTATAAATTACATTTATTAGATGCGGGTGAAACCGCGGGCACAGCTAGTATAAAACAAATATGATATACTGTTTTAACTGATAAGTGCTAGAAGTATGTAAGTTATATAACCTATTTGATACGATCCGTGTACTAATAAAACTTGTAATATAAATCATTTTATATCTTCAGAAGCAAATTTTTCCGCCAACTACATAATTCATGTTGGTCTATCGATAATCAGTAGCTCCTTGGTACGCCTCGAGGTTAATAGATACGGTAGAAATAATAGTCCAACTTTTATCTGGGACCAGACTATAAGGCTTTATCTGAGAAATTCTCTTTCAAATTGCCCAGCTGAGGCAAGTTTTTATCAGCTGCTCTGGGCTATGGAGCTGTTGTAATCAATAAACTAGCTACTATATCTAACGGCATTTCAGTTTTAAATTACGTAATTTATTTATTCAAGAATAAACGGAAAATATATCTATAAATTCCACTTTAAGCATAAAATATCACTAAATACAAACAAAGTCACAGTCGCTGTTTGTCCGTCCCTATGTATGCTTCAATATTTAAAACTACACAACGGGTTTTGAAGCGGTTTTTTTATTAGATAGAGTGATTCTAGAGGAAGGTTTATATGTATAATACATGTACACTCGGACGAAGCCGGAGCGAGTACCTAGTTAAAGTATAAATTCAAAATTATGTTGTTATTTTTTGACTAAGCTTTAAGGTTTAATCTGAAAGGTTTTGCAGCCCTCTGTGCTAACGGTAAACGCTGGTGGAGCACCAGTGGAGGATGGTAAGACAGGTCATGAGTCATGAGGTCATGTCAGTTAACCCATGATGGTTTTCAGGGAACCGCATGGAGGTCAACTTGACATGGTACATCTAGTAATGGGGTCATCAGACCACGTTAATAACAGTTCCCTTTTGTCCTACATTCTGTTATCTCCTTGAAGTCATCAATGATGGTTACGAAAAGGAACCGCATGGAGGTCAACTTGACATTGTACATTCTAGTAATGATCATCAGTCTACATTAATAACAATCCTTTTGTCTTACATTCGTATTATCTCCTTCAAGTCATCAACGATGGTTACGAAGATGAACCCCATGGAGGTCAAACTGACATAGTACATTCTAGTAATGAGGCCATAAGACCACACTAATAACAGTCCCCTTTTGTCCTACATTCGTATTATCTCCTTGAAGTCATCAATGATGGTTACGAAGATGAACCCCATGGAGGTCAAACTGACATAGTACATTCTAGTAATGGGGTCATCAGACCACATTAATAACAGTCCCCTTTTGTCCTACATTCGTATTATCTCCTTGAAGTCATCAATGATGGTTACGAAGAGGAACCCCATGGAGGTCAAACTGACATAGTACATTCTAGTAATGGGGTCATCAGACCACGTTAATAACAGTTCCATTTTATCCTACATTCGTATTATCTCCTTGAAGTCATCGATGATGATTTCCAAGAGGAACCGCGTGAAGGTCAACCTGACATGGTACATTGCTAGCTATGATCATCAGTCTAATGTAGACTAGATAACAGTCCTTTTGTCCTACATTCGTATTATCTCCTTGAGTCAAGTCATGAGTGCAAAACGTTTTGGTCTGAATTTGGGTTATCACAGTTTACAACTGGTCTGTCGGACCCCCGCGATCTGATAGGCTCCTTGCCAGTAGCTGGAGTTGGCTCACTAAGAAATATGACTAGATATACTGCTTGTAGGTTCACCACACTTAAGTCAGAAAAAGAATATACTAAAATAGTTTGGTTTCGAGAGCATCATAGCCTGTTCGAGTAACTAGACTTAGACTTGGACCCAAACGGTTGTAAGTTCAGATTCAGCCGTAGCAAAAAAAAAAATGTTACCAATAAGCAACAATTCGAGAGAATTGTGGCTTATTGGTAACATTTGTTTTCAATTATTTGTCTTTTAGTCAATTACACATTTACACAATTACAATTACAAATATTTCCTTTAGTCAATTATTTTCTTGCAGTCTCATTCAGGGGTCTAACAATATGGAAAATATTGTTAGACCCCGAAAATGAGACTAGATGTACTACTTGTAGGATTACCACACTTAAGTATAAATTGGGCGTTGCGAAAAAGAATAGACTAAAATCAAGAGAATAGTAGCTCATTGGTAAACCGTCTTAGATCCAAAAGCTTGTAAGTTCTGACCGCACAAAAAGAAATGTTTCCATTTTATTAGACCTGCAATGAGACTTTCTGGCAGTTTTGTATATTATGTATATATATATCTAACTTAAACCTAATGAAAGAGTACATTCATTATGTATTTATTTCATCAAAGATTTTGTTAAAATGTCAATTACCATTTCAGTAGAAGATATGTAGACTTTTAAGGGTCGGCAACTCGCACGTAACACCCCTGAAGTTTCAGGCGTCGATAGACTACGGTAACCATTTACCATAAGATGAGCCGTATCCTTATTTGCCACCAAAGTAGTATAAAAAAATTGAAACAGAAATAATCTTTATTCAAATAAACTCATTACAAGCAAATTTGAATAGTCATATTTTTGATTCTACCACACATTTGGAATGCTGATTCATCACAAGAAGAATCAGCAAGAAATTTGTTTGTTGCTCTTTTGAATAGATGTATTTTTATATAAATAGTTACAAAATAACAAGTAAGAGGCATGCGATAATTTTTTTTGCGAGAAACCGCTAAAGATTCTACTAGTTCCTTATTTATGTTATTAACCGGATCTTAACACGAATCGATTTTTATCAGCTGCGATGTGCTCTTTGACCATTCAGCTATAGATCGTTTTGTTTGGACAATATAAGAGCGACGAAAGAGAAAGAAATATAAGAAGGATATCTAGTGATGGTAGATGATAAAACTGCTGTCACCTATCTATATTAACATCGCTGTCAATCCAGTCAGCTCAGTCAGTTCAAGTCGAGAGAGGTAAGTACGTTTATTTGTTAACTACCTACTCGCCCCTGCATATAAACCTTCCTCTAAAATCACACTATCTATTAAAAAAAACCGCTTCAAAATCCGTTACGTAGTTTTAAAGATATAAGCATACATAGGGACGGACAGACAGCGACAGCGTCTTTGTTTCACACTATGTAATGATTAAACACGAAAGTTTCTAACTAACTAGTTCTTTTTGCTGAGAATTCTCTTCCAATATATGGTAGTTGGTGACCCTATAACCAGAAGTGGCGCACTCTTTTGATGGCAATGTTTTTACATTCCACATTAAATACGCGGCGAGTCTTGCCAAATTGGATCATATTGGTTTCATGCTAACTGCTTTAATCTCGCTCCGAATCTGCGGTTAATTTTTATTTTTATTGCATTCTCTTATCTCACTAGATAGGAATAGATGCCAAATTACCGTCATAAAAATTAATAAATTATCCTGTGAAATAATTAATATATATACTAGCTGTTGAACGCGACTTCGTCTGCTTTTTGGGGAATATATCTTCGTGACATAAGTTATTAATTTATTTAGGTAATCAACAGCTTATACAAACCATACGCGTGTTTCTTTCTGTAATAATAGTATCTCAAGACAATTTCACACAGCGCCATCTAGTCCTAAACTAAGCAGAGCTTGTGTTATGAGAAATGCACAACTGATACAAATACTAAAATACTCTTTTTTGTATCATTACATAGTATAAAACAAGGTCGCTGTCGCTGTCTGTCCGTCCCTATGTGTTGCTGACGTACTGGCCATATACTTTTATACTTCATATATTATATTTTTCTAAAGAATTTTATTATATTATTTTGTATACAGAACTTTAATATCAAATAAACATTGTGACAGACAACAACATCTGGTGTCAGAAGCTGAAAAATTATAAAAATCTTCGCTTACACAAAATAATTTAATATTATTATCGATATATTAGTGCAAAACTGTGTTGTATATTATTTTCACTACGTAAGTACTAGTCCAATTTCATAAAATGCTAACTCGGAGCATGACAAAGCGAACCTCCGCAAAAAGTGCACCTTCTGATCGCTCATCAACAAGCGCCGTGCAAGCAGAGAGGCTAGCAATAGAAGCAGATCATGCACGTCGCGTTGCCGAAGCCGAACGTAGATCCTTAGCTGCCGAACGCGAGGCACAGCAGCGAGCGCTTGCCGCAGAACGCGCTGCTTCTGAAGCAGAAATGCGTGCCCAGATAGCAGCACTAAATAGTCGTTCTAGCCGCCGTAGCTCCAAGAACTCAGTAGAGAGCTGGTTGGACGCTAACTTCGCTACGACATCCAAGAATTGTGCATCAGCCCCGAGAGAAGATATAGCAACAAACTGCGCGCCGGAGACTCAGAACCCATCCAGTCCACCTGCCATTCCTGCTGCATGCGATGCAGTACCTGCAGGGCCTGCAGTGCCGATGCCCATGGAGGGCCCTCACGGCGCTGCCTTCAAGGCCGTGCCACAGGAGCAGGCGGCCCATAGTGGGCACTTCTCGGCGCACCCCATTGTGACGGACCCGTACATACCACAAAACAACACCATAGGCACACATACGCATAATTGTATCACAAATAAAAGCATAGAAAACCACCACACTCTACACCTTGCTCGAGCAGTCGCTGACGTCGCTATAAAAGCGGCCCAATCATCCAAGGTAAGTGCACCGCTCCCACTCTTCGATGGTCGCGCGACGGATTGGCTTATATTTAAAAAGTCATATGATAAGTCCAGCCCGGCGCTAACACCAACGGAGAACTTGGCGAGGCTCAATGCTAGTCTCCGTGGGGCCGCGCGCGATCACGTAGCTATACTGCTAGCGGCCACGCGCGACCCTCGTGAGGTCATTCATGCTCTTGAGGTATTCTTTGCTAGACCCGAATTCATAATACTTTCAGAGATCTCGACAATGCGAGCTCTCCCAAAAATAAGTAATAATGAGAGCATGAAGGAACTCAATCTTTTTGCTTGCAAAGTACGCAGATGCACGGAAGTCGTGCGACTGCTCAACCGACCAGAGTATTTAGCGTCACCCGATTTGGCCAACGAGATCTTAACAAAATTTACGCCATTACTCAGGATCCGTTGGGCAGACTATGCAGCAAGCAAAGAGACTCTGGGCAAGTTTCGACTCGAACTACTGTCCGAATTTCTTATGCTCGAGGCGGAATTACGTGTTCGGTATGGAACCTATTCTGAACAAGTAAAGCCCGAACCGCCCAAACGTCAATGTCATCCACTGACGTCATGTCATAGTACCATAGACAAAGTTGCTATTTGTCCTTATTGCTCAAAGTCTCACAACATTGAAACGTGCAAAGAGTTTAGTTTAGCTACTGTAGAAGATCGATGGAAGTGGGTCATTGCTAACAAAGTCTGTTACAAATGCCTCCAAAGCAATCCCCATTTCTTTCGCCGCTGTACGCTTAAGCATTGTCAGGTGAAAGGGTGTAAGAGTAGATTAAGCCATAACTCCCTACTCCACAGAACCACCTCACCAACAAAGACTCAAAACGACACAAGTCCATCGAGTGACGATACAGCGCCGAGTTCGTCGGCAACCGTCACCCACAGTCGATCGCTCCCTACGTCCCAGCGTCCACTACTGAAGGTAGTTCCCGTCACAGTAGCCGGCCCTAAAGGTACTTTCGATACTTTTGCCTTGCTAGATGATGGCTCTACAGCCACCCTATTAGACTCGTCAGTAGCGTCCGCCATAGGTGCAAAGGGACGAAGAAGCCATATTAAGATCGATGGTATAGGAGGTATGTCAACTGAGTCCGATATATCCCTAGTCGACATCACAATCAAGGGACGTTATAGTACGGAGTGGCATTCTTTAGAAAATGTTCGTTCTATTCCTAACCTGAACCTTGGTCCACAACATATTGATCGCGAGTTTGTTAAAGGTTTACATTATTTATCTGATTTGGTCGATTTTATATGTTATGAACATGCTAAACCGATGCTTTTAATTGGTATCGACAACTGGAACCTCACCCTGCCCACAGAGATCCGCCAGAGCTCTAAGTTTCAGCCTGTAGCCGGTCTCACCCCTCTTGGTTGGGTCCTTTTCGGTTTCAGCTCGAGTAAAACCAAACCAATCGAGTTCGTAAACCATACCATTTCCACAACTGTAAATCCGTCAAACAGCTATGAATCGTTGGAAAATCTCATAAAAGAACATTACAAACTAGATTCTATAGGCATTGTAGCTAAAGATTATCGCACCCCTACTGAGCAAAGAGCGTTAGATTTACTAGAGTCCACCACTACTCGTCTTCCTTCAGGGCGATTTGAAACAGGTCTCCTATGGCGAGACAACTTAAAAGATGTCCCCAATAATTATAAACTTGCCTTGTCCCGCTTTAAAAGCCTAGAACGAAAACTCATAGGTGATAAGTCGCTTGCAGAATCATATAGGCAACAGATAAATGCCAACATTGTCAAGGGTTACGCAGAAATATGCACAGAACCTGCAGACCCCTCCAAAGTCACTTGGTATCTGCCACATTTCGGCGTCGTACACCCACAAAAAAAGAAACTTAGTGTTGTACACGACGCAGCAGCCACTTTTGAAGGTGTTAGCCTCAATTCTATGCTTTTAGCAGGTCCCGATTTACTGCAACCTCTGTTAGCAATCCTGATGCGTTTTCGTGAAGGCCGCATCGCTCTCAACGGCGATATTCGGGAAATGTTTCCCCAAATTAAAATCCGGAAGGAGGACAGAGACGCTCAACGTTTCCTGTGGCGTAATGAACCATCCCAACCGATTTTGGAATACAGGATGTCGTCGATGATTTTCGGTGCGGTCTCCAGTCCGTGCACAGCTCTCTACCTGAAAAATAAAAACGCATTAGATCATAAAAAAGAATTTCCTATGGTCGTAGATGCTGTAGTTAACAACCACTACATGGACGATTACCTGGGTAGCGTCGACTCTGCAGATGAAGCAGCTCGTCTCGTAGCTGATATTGTAGAAGTCCACTCTCGCGCAGGTTTCGAGATGAGAAATTGGGTTTCTAATTCTAAAGAAGCTCTTACCTTGATTCCTCGAGATCTATGTGCCACAAACATCTTAGAGGTAAATCTCGCAAACAATGCTCCAAACCATAAAATTCTCGGAGTGTCTTGGAACATCGTTGATGACTCTCTAGGCCTTTTGCGAAGTTTACCCCCTATCCATGAGTCTTCTAAGTGGACTAAGCGCCATGTCCTATCACTACTAATGCAAGTATATGACCCTCTAGGCTTGTTAGCTCCTATTGTCATAAGAGGTCGAATTCTTTTTCAACAAACCTGGAGGCTCGGTATCAACTGGGACGATCACTTACCATCCGAAATTCTATTAAAATGGAAACATTGGTTTGAGCACTTATCAAATCTCCGCCAAACTTCTATTCCACGCTGCTACACAACATGTGAGTGGACGGAAAAACAACTCCATGTCTTTGCTGATGCTAGCGAATACGCATACTCCTGTGTAGCGTACTGGCGTTTCATAACGCCCAACGATTGCAAAATAAGCCTTATTGGTGGAAAAGCGAGGTTAGCTCCTTTAAAGCCAGCCTCCATACCTAGATTAGAGCTCCAGGCAGCTCTGATCGCTGCTCGTTTTTGTAAATATTTAATAGAGGCTCATAAACATAAGCCGGTCAAAATTTTCCTTTGGTCAGATTCTTTAACAGTTCTCAAATGGCTTCGTAGCGATGCTCGCAATTTTAAAGTATTCGTTTCACATCGGGTTGGAGAAATTTTAGAACTCACAGACATTTCTTGTTGGAAATATGTCCCAACTCATCTAAATGTTGCTGACGACGCTACGAGACCACAATCAAAATTCGAAATTTCACGATGGTTCTCCGGACCACCCTTTCTATTATTCGGTCAAAATGAATGGCCTGAGGAACCTTCCACAAATGTGCGACTAGGCCCCGAAGAAATGAAATGTGATCGAGAGCTAGTTGCACTAACAACAGATAATTCTCCGGAACTATCCCCAGTAGTAGCTAATCACTGTCGTTTCAGTAATTGGTTACGTCTAGTTCGCGCTACAGCTACTGTTGCTCTCGCTGCTAGGTTTTTTATACATTTATTGTTTCGTAAGATAGGGAATAGGGTTGACGAAGCCCCTTCTCGACAACTACAAGCCTCAGATCTAGTCGCATCAGAACTCCGCTTACTCTTGCGTTCCCAACTAGACTCCTTTGGAGAAGAACGTCGCCTTATTAAAGCCGAAAAGCCCTTGCCTTCTAGAAGTCGTTTGAGACGGCTAGCTGTCACCTTGGACGATTCCCAAATATTAAAATTAGCAGGGAGGACAAGAGCCTGTGCGGGTTCAATCATCACAAGCAACCCCATTGTGCTCGACGGCAAGCATCCCGTCGTAAAACTTCTAATAAAACACCATCACAACAGAGCAGCACATGCGAACACAGAATTAATTGTCAACGAATTACGACAGAACTATTTCATCTTCGGTATACGTCCAGCCGTAAAGAAAGTCGCCAACGAATGCATGATGTGTCGCCTTCGTAAAAAGAACCCACCGGCCCCACCTTTCGGTGATCTACCTGCAGAACGGATGGCTCATAGCGTACGCCCATTCTCCTTTGTTGGGCTAGATTATTTCGGGCCAGTTACTGTATCCATTGGCCGACGAACCGAAAAACGCTATGTGGCACTCTTCACTTGCCTGACAGTACGAGCCATCCACCTAGAAATTGTTGGCAGCTTATCCTCGGATGCGGCAATCATGGCTCTACGTCGCTTTATATCAAGGCGTGGATGCCCAATTAAAATTTACTCAGACAACGGGACAGCCTTCGTCGGAGCAAATAATATACTGAAGCAACTCTACCATGACGACGTAGTCAATGATGCTGCCAATAGAAGGATCCAGTGGCACTTCATTCCACCTGGGGCACCCTTTATGGGCGGATGTTGGGAGAGGCTGGTCCGAAGCGTAAAGACAGCTCTCTCCACAATACTAAAAGAAAAATCCCCACGAGAAGAGGTTCTACACACACTCCTCCTAGAAGCCGAAGCCTTAATAAATTCAAGGCCACTCACCCACGTCTCCGTAGACCCTAATGACGAAGAAAGTATAACGCCATTTCACTTTCTAATTGGTTGCTCCTCTCCCCACCAATCATTCGGAGAGATGGATGAACGCGACCTTATCCGTCGAGTAAATTGGAAAAAGGGCCTTCGTCTTGCTGACCACTTTTGGGCTAGATGGTTGACGGAATACCTCCCTACACTGATTCCGAGACGACCAGGAGAAAAACCAGAATTTAAAGTCGGAGACCCGGTTCTCATTGCCGACGGCAACCTTCCGCGCGGTTCATGGCCACGGGGCCGTATCTTAAAAACATTCCTCGGTCCTGACAAAACGATCCGTGTGGCAGAGGTCGCCACCAAAGGAGGTATCCTCAAGCGCCCAGTCCGAAAGTTGGTTCCTCTACTAGACCGCCAGCATGTCAGCTCAAACTAAACCGGTGCTCACACCGCGGGGCGCCATGTTGCTGACGTACTGGCCATATACTTTTATACTTCATATATTATATTTTTCTAAAGAATTTTATTATATTATTTTGTATACAGAACTTTAATATCAAATAAACATTGTGACAGACAACAACACTATGTATGCTTAAATATTTAAAACTACGCAACGGATTTTGAAGCGGTTTTTTTAATAGATAGAGTGCTTCAAGAGGAAGGTTTATTTATATGATACATGTACAGTAATGTACACTCGTGTGAAGCCGGGGCGAGTAGCTAGTTAATGATAAAATCGATATACATAATATACATAGAATACACACACGTCAATATATACAAAAATTCATACTCATGAATACAAATGATTGTGCCGTGTCAGGAATCGAACCCGCAAAGGTGAAGTAAGTCGGTGTACTAAACCGCTAGACTACCAAGGCTGTCAAATATTTAATATTACATGATTAGTCAAGCCAATTTCAGACAAAATCGTCCAATGTGTGAAGAGACATTGAACGATTTTGTCTGAAATTGTTAAAATAACATTAAATTAAATCAACATTCATGTAGGTCTATTACAGACTTTATGATATGTCAAATCTACCATCAGTTGTAGTAGTATCTGTCAGAATAAAGAGAAAAAAGAATCCATTCTCTCCATATCTATCTTTTTGTTTATAATATTTGTATATATTAATAGGTTTATTTAACAAAACACGAGTTAGTCACAATTCTAAATTCAAAATATATTTATTCATGTGGTCAATTACAGACTTTATGAGATGTCAAATCTACCATCAGTTGTAGTAGTATCTGTCAGAATAAAGAGAAAAAAGAATCCATTCTCTCCATATCTATCTTTTTGTTTATAATATTTGTATATATTAAAAGGTTTATTTAACAAAACACGAGTTAGTCAAAATTTTAAATTCAAAATATCTTTATTCATATAGGTCTATTACAGACTCTTATGATATGTCAAATCTACCATCAGTTGTAGTAGTATCTGTCAGAATAAAGAGAAAAAAGAATCCATTCTCTCCATATCTATCTTTTTGTTTATAATATTTGTATATATTAATAGGTTTATTTAATAAAACACGAGTTAGTCAAAATTCTAAATTCAAAATATCTTTATTCATGTAGGTCTATTGCAGACTTTATGATATGTCAAATCTACCGTCAGTTCGGAGTGTTTTCGAGGTAAGAACTGACAAAAAATCAGCTGTTATTCTTTTCAAATGAGCTAGTGAGTACAAAATTTCAGATTCATTTTTAAATTCAATTAAGGAGTATGTGCTAACCAGTAGCTTGAGTTTAGTAAACACTGGATTTAGGCTTGATATACGATCCTGTGCTTCAACCAGCTAAATAGCTTACAAAACAAATTCAAATTCAAAGATCATTTATTAATGTAGATACTTTTAGCACGTTCTGAACGTCAATTATTTTATATTATAATTTTCTCCCTACCGTTCAGTTCAGTATATAGATCTAATTAATAAAAACTGGCAAGAAACTAAGTTGAATTACTTTTTTTTAATAGCCAGTTTATTTACAACGTATATTTATATAGGTGTCTATGTCTAACATTAAATGAAATGAACATGCACAACTATTGCCATGCACGCTCGTCATTCAAGTAATCGTTTAGTGAGTAATAGGCTTTGCTCAGTAAATATGATTTAACAGATAGTTTGAATGTGTATCTATGTGTAATTTTTAATTAAATTTTAATTTACATAGATTAACATTTACATTTGTATATAGATTTACATTTACATGTTTACAATATAATACAATTTTTATATATTTCTATTGTCTGTAGTCCCCAAACTAGGTCAGGCCTATATCTTATGGGCTGGGAGCGCGGATACCAAAAATATGCAGTATATAATAATAATAATAATAATCTTAAGCCAATTCACACAGCGCCATCTAGACCCAAGTTAAGCTAGCTGAAGCTTGTGTTATGGGTACTAGACAACTGATACAAATACATAGATTTTTTTTTTTTCGTAAATACATACATATTATATATAGAAAACACCCAGACCTACACAAACAATCATACTCATGAATACAAATGTTTGTGCCGTGCGAGGAATCGAACCCGCGATCGGACGTAAAGCGGTGTACTAAACCACTAGACCACCGAGGTCGTCATCGTCAGTATATGTATATGTATTTACGCTGTGATATCGTAAATTGATAGCGCTTATCATAAAACTCCGTTACACGTGTGTAATTTCATTAAACTGTTCAGACAATAGGTGAAGACACCGTTCTATACTAGTAAAGTATGCAATTCGAATGGTTGATTCAGTATTGGCAAGAAGTGGTAAATATTGGAGGTGGTATTCATAATTTTAAATATTATTTGCGACCGTCGTGACTTAGTGGTTTATTTTTCTGAATGACGACCAAGAGGTTGTAGGTTCAAATCTGGACAATATAATAACGAAAGTATTGTGCGTCGATTTATATTTATGACTAGCTGTTCCCGCGACTTCGTCTGCGTGGAATTTAATTTTATTTTTCTAAAATAAAGTAGCCTATGTTATTCCTCTTTACATCAGTTATCTGCCAATAAAAGTCTCGTCAAAATCGGTTCAGCCATTTAAGAGATTAGCCGGAACAAACAGACCGACAGACAGAGAGAGAAAATTTTAAAAAATGTTATTTTGGTGTATGTACCGTATTTATATGCATATGCATGTAGTAAAAAACGTTTATTTCAATATTACAAATAGACACTCAAATTTTATTTATATGTATAGATTAACTCGCTGATGGAGGCAACTTTTTAATTTTTAGTTTTATATCGGCATCTAATCCGAAAATTAATTTGAAATACGTCGGAAGGCTCGGTCAATGTCATATTGGATACAAATATATCCATTTTTGTGATCTTTCGTGATCTGTTAAGCCGATAAATCGTGAAATGCTAACAAACAGACACAATTTCATATTCATAATATTATTAGATATAAAATGAGAAATTTTATTATAAAAACGTTAAATTAATGTAGTGTAAATAGATGGGAAGAAATTCAAGTAATTAATGTAATAATATTTTTTAATAATATTATTTGAATGATAATAATAATAATAATATAATAATATCTAAGGACAATTCACACAGCGCCATCTAGTCCCAAGATAAGCAGGGCTTGTGTTATGGGCACTAGACAACTGAGATAAATACATGGATATATTTTTTTTGTAAATAAATACATATTATACATAGAAAACACCCAGACCGATACAAACAATCATACTCAAGAATACAAATGTTTATACCGTGCGAGGAATCGAACCCACGACCATCGGATAGTAAAGCGGTGTGCTAGACCACTAGACCACAGAGACTGTCGTGATGAAATGGTATAAATTAAATAAGTGTGTCGCGAGATTTTTAAAATATAAATTAAAGACTCTCCATGAAATCTATTCAGCACATGCCAAGATATTACAAAAACTGGTACACTTTCTGGAAACACAAACTTAAACAGCCTTCGAGTAACTCTGCACTCCCTAAAGTTGGTTGGTAGAGAATAGTAATAGCATAACAGCATATCAATAAAAAAAAAATTGCCGGGATTAACCTGGCTTTTTTTTTATTGAGCATATTTTTTTAATTTTATTTTTTGCGTTTGCTCTTTCGGATTACGCTCGCTTTAGTAGCTGTATGTGAAATGTTTTGGAAGTGTTTTATTTGTTTAGTTTATATATACATTTGTTAATAGTAATAGTTATGTATAAGCCCGGCTATTGTACATTTCAATAAATAAATAAAATAAAACAGGTCTCCTTATCTTAGCCACCCAATGCAGGACGGTCAACATATGCCGCATCCAAATTGTAAAGTTTCATATATGAACGTGCATCTTTATTAGTTAATAGTGTATGTACACACGATGCGCTATTGTCACGGGTCACAATGGACATTATTTATGGACTTTTCTACTTCATTACTCACTGCACACGTCTTACATGTTTGACATACATAACTCGTGTTTTATGTGACTTTAATATGTATTAGTTTTTTTTAATTGGGCGAGTACAATTTGTTCTGGAAATAAACTTAGTAAATGATCCTAAACAATCCTAAACCTAGCGGTTTAGGATACCATCTTAAGAGCTGATTTCTTGTCAGTTCTTCTTAGTTAGCTTATGACGACCTCGGTGGTCTAGCGGTCTAGCACACCGCTTTACGTCCGATGGTCGCGGGTTCGATTCCTCGCACGGCACAAACATTTGTATTCATGAGTATGATTGTTTGTATCGGTCTGGGTATTTTCTATGTATAATATCTATGTATTTACGAAAAAAAAATTATCTATGTATTTGTATCAGTTGTCTAGTACCCATAACACAAGCTTTAGCTAGCTTAACTTGGGTATAGATGGCGCTGTGTGAATTGTCCTGATATTATTATTATTATTGCTAACTGTGTAGGTACATTAATTTATAGTTGGTATAACAATATACATAAAATTCCTAACGAATACGTACGAGGAAATCTGGCTGTTCGCGATATTGCCAAAAATATCCGCCCAGGTCGTCGAGGCAATATAGGTAAGCACTCCGAACTGACGGTAGATTTGACATATCATAAAAGTCTGTAATAGACCTAAATGAATAAAAATATGAAACTGCAATTGATTTAAAATTAAATAATAAAAAATTTGAATCTGTACTGCAATTTAGTTACTTAGGCAAGTCTAGTTTTTTCTACTAATATTCTATTCCGTACCATACAGCTCAGTATACAATATTCATTTGAGAAGAACTGGCAGGAAACTCAACTGAATTTCTTTTTTTTTTTAGTCTAGGCTAGAATAAAAGTGGCGTTTCCAATTTATTATTAGACGAAGTAAAATAAATGCTTCATAGAGATATAATAGCGATACAGAATTGCTGTGTGAGTGTAAACCTACACACCTATAACCAGAGTGTCGTCTGGCGCGGCGTCGAGTACCCGCAACG